TGTTGCAAGATCTTTGAGCTCCTGACAAACGAGAAGTCGATTCTGCTTCTGGTCCTCAGACAGGAGCCTTGGTTTCGCATGTGGAGTTCTTCCTTTAGAATCAGCTGACAGGTCCCATAGCCTATCCCAGCAATGTCGCACAAGTCGTTGATGGTACGACGTCGATCTTCGTGAATGGCCTGCCGAATCTTCGTACCATTTTCGGGCGTTGTGCTCGAAGATGGTCGTCCAGAACGCTCGTCATCATCGACAGCGGTTCGGCCCTTTTTAAAACGTGAATGCCACACAAAAGTTTGTGCACGACCCATTGCGGACTCCCCAAATGCTTGCTTTAGCATTTCATAGGTTTCCGTAGCCGTTTTGGCGAGTCTTTGGCAAAATTTGATGCACACGCCATTCCGAAATCGCAGGAGGGTCGGTGTAATGCAATACCAAAACGCCCGTAACTAAGAAACAAATGCTAATTCGATGATTCCGGCTGGCACACTGATTCATTATGAATGTAGGCCGCACCCCTTAGCGGCAGAAGCTCGTACTACATCCGGTTCGCCCTCTATTGACACAGTCTTAAAACTTTCCGATCGCACCTCGTAATTTACTTAATTGATTTAAATTATTTTTACAAATATGCTAATATATTTAGATGCAAATTTCTTGTGCATTAACGTCCTCCGTATTAATGTATTTTATATTCTGCTTGTTTTACCTTTTATGTTTTTATTGTGTTCGTGTGCTCATCTCTGTGATGTATCTGTAATTGGCTTGCAGGCTGTTGATACAGAACACTAATAATATAGAATTGAATTGAATTATTATTATTATTATTGTTATACCAGTGCAAGGATGATACCTTCATTCACATCAGTTTAATATTTATTTTTAATGCGCCCTTCAGCCATAAATCAAACGTATATTTCGGCTTTTAAATTTTTGTGGCCTCTCTAAATTCACATAGCTCGGGCCACAGAAGATCAAAGTCTGGTGTGATAATAACCTATTAACAGAGGACAAGGATGGGGCAACTCCAAAAGTGTTGCGAACATCAAATATTAACCTACTTCAGAATAATATAGGTAAAGTGCATCAAAAATTGTCACTAACCATTAACGTATCAGGTACTAAAATTATGGTTGAGAATTGAGGTTTAAATTTTTCATATAAGGAGGGAATATAAAATACCCTGAACTGACCAACTCGAACATAATTTATTAAACGCATACAAATCACTGCACTTAAACGGTAGTAAAATATTACGTTTGTGCAAGTGCGTGGATCCATGTGTGTCTAAAAATCACTTTTGTTAAAAAGTTAAACTTTTGGTACAAAATATAATTTTTCAGTACTGATACATGAGTTTGACCTGATGATGATCTTTGGCTTGTGACGAAATGTAGACTTGAAGGTGAACGCAAACGTTTCGGAGAAACGTACTGTTTCCATCATCAGTGCAGAAGTCACAACCCTTACCCTCCAAAACCAACAGACACCACTAATAGTGACACGCGCGATGTGGAAACTCACTTTATGAGATGTGATGTGTTTCTGCTTAATTTTGATGGCCGAAATCTGGTGAGACTTATTTCTTACTCAGTAGAATTTGAGTTTCTCACAGCGCCCTGATGATGAAGACAGCAAGTGTAAAAACTACACAACTATTTCCTCAATTCATCATGACATCGAGAACCAACTCAAACTATGAATTTGTAAACCGTGTTCACTAATACATTACATTTATATAAAGTGAGCGCTATTAAAATCAGTGTCAGTTTGTCATAAATTACGTCTTTAAAATGTGGTATTTTAATGTATCTTTAAACTATCAAAGAAGTTTATACAATATTAATTGTAACATTTTCATAAGGACTCTTGTGTACACATTAATGAAACTTCGGTCTTTGCAAAAGGCGGGAAATTTCTTAAATAGCTAAGTGACTATTGGTTTCTCAGAATTGACTTTATTAAATAGAGTTCCTAAGTTATCAAAGGATATATCTGAACAGAGGACATCAGTTATGTCAGTGGTTCGTAAGTTTACTCTATAGTACGGGAGAAAACGCAGTCCTTTGACGGGCCATACCCAGAACAGAAACCGATGCTTATTGAAACAACAAACAGCTGCTGCCTTCGTGTGTGTATGTATGGTTTTCCTTGTCAGATCAAAGAAACGCAATATTTCGCTGTAACTTATATTGAAAACCTTTCTGTGTTGCTGGTTGTGTGTGAATGTCTTTCTCTACGTTCAATAACGCCCACTTCCTTATTCCATTCCTACTAAGCATTTCAAAATTCAAAATTCGTATCGTGCACTAATAGCAGTAGCTAACTAAATAACTACATGGAGAAAAGTTATTGAAAATCTCACCTAATTAAAAATTCACCCCCATCCCCTACGAAAGTTAAAGGTTCACTACAGATCATATTCTGAGCCGGATGAATCCAATCCACACTCCCAAACCCTAATTCCCCAAGATAAATTTTAATATTATCCTCCCATCTACGCCTATGCCTTCCTAGTGGTGTCTTTCCTTCAGGAGTTCCAAAATAAATGTTCTCATCTCTCCATGCGTGCTATATATCCTACCCGTCTTATCCTCCTTTAATGGATCGCCCTAATAATATTTGCAAAAAGAACCGAGTTTAGAGCTTCTCATTACGTCAGTTTCATAGGCCTCCAACTGCCAATGAATGTGACCGTGTTCATAGATTTAAGGGGATAAAGCCTGACGATGTGCAAAAACACGCTCAGAGCCAAAGCTGAAGATACATTTTCTGTTACTACATATAGCTGTTTTCCTACCTGAGAGGATTGAGAATCGCCCGGTGTCTGTCAACCGCGATGGCTGTGAGGGTGAAGACGCTCACGTTGACGCTCAACACCTGAACGAACGGACAGAAGGCGCACATGAAATGAGGTAGGTTCCATCGCTGCAACAGCGCAGCCTGAAACTGTGGGAACGACAGCGGGTGTAGCACTACAGTGGAATCGAGTACCAGAAAACGAAATTCTAAACACACGCAAGACGAAATTAAGGAGGAAGGAAATGGCATTAAAATAAAATAAGAGGAACGTTAAAATGCGGGAGACAGAAGTTATGTGAGGGAAAGAAAGCAAATGGGAAATGCATAAGAGGAGAAAGGGAAAAGCGTAAAAAGAAATAAGGGACTGAAATGGAGGAAAGATGAAATAAAGACAAAACAAAGGACAATATAAAAAGTTCCAAGCTCCCAACACCATCAAACGAGAGCGAATAAGAATGTTATGGTAGAAATCCACACCTTCGAGTCACTGTAGCTATATGTGGAAATATTTTATCAGCTCGCACTAAACGGAAGCACGAAATTACACGTGGACATAAATGTGTAGGTATCACATATAAATCCCTGCTCAAAAGAATGAAGGCATGTGGAAAGAGGACATCATACACGATGGACAAAACTGTCGATGACGAACCAATTTGTGTGCCTGTGCACATCACGAATTGTAATTGGCTTTTCCTAGCTATAGCGTCCGACTACACAATTTTCATATAAAAATTCGAAGCACACCTGAAACCATGCGACGACACAGCAGTTACAAATCACTAAAGTTCACCGATCCTTGCTCTACGTCTGGTGGCAGAGTTGAAGCATTTAATCCAACAGAAGAGGAAGTCAAATCTGTCCGATCTGTCACGTGCAGTACACTGAGATAGTGAACGCGACTTAGAATCATTTATTTAGTTTCTATATGAATGTATGTAAAGATGGTTGTCTTCTGGGTTGTTGCTGCAAGGACTTCTGAAGCGTCGTTAAACTTATACTAGACTACACGGCGCAACAACCCAGAAGACAGCCATCTTTAAACTCACCGACGTGAAAACCTCAAATACTACACAAATGTACATAGGTGGCTGCATTTAACTTATACATCACTACGACCTACAAATGGTATAAATTCAAGAAAATTATTGTTTTAACTATTCAAAAGTCTAAATAGCATGCACTTACAAATTCAGATATTTCAATTCGTAAACTCAGAACTATAAAATGCCCCTTAACCACAACCTAAAAAATAATTCCTTAAAATATATTTTTATAATTACCTGAAATGGAATTGAGAACAGCCCGATGATAATATCGGCCAATGCAAGATTTGAGATGAAACAGTTGGTAACATTTTGCATTCGTCGACTTCTGGCAACAATCCACATCACTAGGAAGTTCCCCGCAACAGCAAGTACAGAAATAGTTCCGTAGAAGATGGACAGCAGTGCAATAATACTAGCCGGTACGTCATACAAACCTATAACAATATAAAATTTGACATATTATAATTATTATTATATTTTCTGTTGAATTGTATTTGAATCCTGTAATTATTGATTTAGCACGTTAAAATAAAGAATTACATTAAGTTATCATCCAACTCCATTAAACACAGGACTTCTTGCCAAGCTGACAGTCGTTCAGCTAATCAAGAATTCTCCTTGTTTTTAATTAACCTGTGGTCCAGTACCGTGTCCAAAATAGGCAGCCACTGCAACCTATAATGGATGAGACTTGAGCCGTGCAGTCTCGTAGACACTGAGAGAATTTTATGAGGAGCTTATTTCTTCAGGGTGAATTTTGTATTGAGCCATAAGAAATGAGACCACACCTACAAATAATACTTTCTTAAGATCAATTTTAATTTATCACCCATCTAGATATCCTAATATTTTTCTGCCTTCAACCCCACCCCCAAAACAGACATTCTATATTGTTCAACTCCCATGTGTGCTAATTGTCTCACTTATATTATCCTCGTTGTTTTGTTCATCTACATATTATAAAGCAGCTCATTATATAATGTTCTCCTTCCCACAGTTATTTTCTTTGTAAAGTCTAACTACTGCCTTCAAGATTCTCTTCATATCACACAACACTCCACTTATGCTCTTCATCTTCAGTAAAAAAGTAAAGTAAAGTAAAGTTTGTCCCACTATACGCCATGTAGGCGTTTGGGGTGAGTGGAGGTATAGCTCCTCCCTTCCTTGACCGCGGCACTAGATGGGGCTGAATGGTCAGCTTCACGCCCCGGCCGTGCTTTACCCCCGGTACCCATTGTAGAGGAGGCTGGGTGGGCCCCAGAGCCGGTCAGGACGCAGAGGCTACAGGATAAATCCTCTGCCCCCGTCGGGGATCGAACCCCGGTCGTCCTGCCCGTAGCTAGTCACTATACTGACTGAGCTATCCCGGCTCATTTTCTTCTTCAGTAGAATACCGAATTATATTACCATACAACAGTAAGCAAGTTTGTCGTTTTGTGTGTTTTAATATCGAGGTCTTTATACATCACAAAGTAAAAAAAAAGCATTCTGAACTGTATAATAACAACTATTTCAGAAAGTCGACCCGCTCTAAGTTTCATAATAAAAGCAATTTCGTTAGAAAGTGGAGATTATGAAGTATGCATCGTTTCCAAAAACGCAAAACTTCGTCACACTGCCCAATCTGTTTCACCCATCGTGGTCCATTGCTGGTGTGGCATGTGATGCACTGCGATCGGTTTCATTCTCTAGCAACTCCACAAACGGCTTTTAATTGAACATCCCTCTTATTTCAAATAACTTTATGGCGTGTTTAGTAACCAAATATTTTGTACTATTACACCAATTGAACAGTTTGTGTTCGCTTTGGTAACAGTTAGTATTGTGTTTCCTCTGCAGGATTAGGTGTATATGTTTCAATAATGTTTATTTTTACATGTGGCAATAAAGAGTATATGCTGGTTGATATAGGCGTAATCCTATATATAGCATTATTGATATTTATCCTATTATTATCATAATCCATAACACACCTGCTAGATGTTGTTTTGTATCAACTTTGGGGTAGTTATCCTACAAGGTGAATATGACTATCCTCGCAACAGTATTGTATGACATAGAAATGCACAAATCACATGTGACAGGTGCCCAGGATAGCTGACTTTTGGATGAGTGTGCAATGTCATATGAGATGTACCTTGCATTTTCTTAGTTGATCCATTGTGTCTGACATGTTCGAGTGGCTGATGTCAGAATGTGTGGGCTTCGTCCTTATTAATTTATCATTGTGATTATTACATAATAAATGCCTCTTTATTTTATAAGGAGAAACATTAATATATTTTTACATTGTTTAAACAGTACAGCAGATCATGTGACCATTGTGGAAAAAATTATAAATCTTTAATTTATACAACATATAAGCAGGACTAAACTTTATTTCAAAACAAAGTTATAAACGGCTAAGATAATAGCACCAACATTGTGTGTTATGCTACCACTGGAAAAGTATTTATCCTCCTTGGATAAAATGATAAGAATTGTGTAATCCCGAACCTAATAATTAGAACTGAAATAACGGCTGTCATTAGGAATGTGTACTTAAAACATTTTAAATCTTAGTCAACTTACGATTTAAGGATTGTAGAAAGGTTTTTTTATGATTAGGAAACACATCACTCCATGGATCTTCCCAACAGCTACATAATTCGAAAACGACTAATTGGCCAGCACGGATTAATTCCGTGACGTCTACCGACTCATCGCTGCACTGCTTACATGTATGATACATCACACCCTCGACGTCTGTGAAGGTTTACCCCTTAAAACAGCAAAACCGCGATGCGCTAAGTTCAGACATGCCGAAAGTCGAACTTCACTCTATGGTGCAGGACATTTTTCGAAAAGTCGATTGTTACTCGGTTTGTCAAAAGACAGCCCACTCTGTTTAAGGAACCCAAAGGTTCATCACCGTGTTCATAAAAGCCCACAACTTGATTACGCCCTTAGCTAGCTACATATAATTAGTTCCCTCGATTCCTGTCTCCCTAAGGTCCATCTTAACGTTATCCTCCCACCGACGCCCAGACATTCCTAGTGGTCTCCAACCTTCAGGACTCCCAACAAATACTCTGGAAACACCCTTCCCCTCCCCCATGCATGTTCCGTCCACCTCATATTCTCGATTTAATCAACCTAACAATATCAGGTGAGAAGTACAGGCCGTAAAGCTCATCAATATGTAATTTTCTCCGTGACCCGTCTTCATCAAAGTACTTTCTCAAAATTCCTCAATCTATGGTCCTCCCTCAAAGTGAGGCACAATTGTTAAAGTCATACTATTGCATCTTTACATTTTTATATGAGACGGGATGGCAAAAGATTTTGGACTGAATTATTGTAGGCATTCCCTGAATTTAATGTGCTCTTGATTTCGTCATTCCGACTTGATAGTGAAGGTTCCCAAGTATTTTAATTTTGACACATTTTTTAAAGATTCACCGGTTATCCTTATATTTTGGTTCTATCCTTAATTTCGATGTCGACATATAATCATCTACTTTGTCTCTTCTGTATTCATTTCTGGAGCAACAACCCTACTAATCCTTAAGCCTGTTACTGTGTTCGCTTTTATAGTATTTATACTATCGCCGAACAGATTAATATCTTCAGGATAGACCAATCCCAAATCGTCCTGATTTTCTTGAACGTTCTTGAGGCCATATTCCAAGGCAAAATTAAAAAACAGCGATGATAATCGTCTCCCAGCTTCAGAACATTCTAAATAGGAAATTTATCGAACAAATGTTAACCTACACAATTTTGCTATAGGTTTCACTTAAACCTATTTTAATTAGCCTGATTAGCTTCTTAGATACGCCAAATTTAAGCAACATGTAAAGAGTTTCTCTCATAACTGAGTCATAGGCTTTCTTGAAGTTTATAAATAGTTGATGTACGGTCTCATTATACTCACACTTTTTCTCTAGTATCTGGCGAATGTATAAAATTTGATCACTTGTAGATCTATTACGACGGAACCTATATTGATGATCCCGAGTAATTTCCTTGACATATGGATTGAACCCCCACCAGAAGAATGCTGGATAAAATTTTGTAGGCAGATGATAAAAGCATGCTACAGTCCACAGACCAGGAGAAAAGCCCTGCTAGGAATGCGATATACGCGCATGCGCAAGATTTCGTGGTGAGTGACGATCCATCCTAAAATCAATCGTTCCACAACCACTGAATGAACAACAGACAACAGGCTTTCATGTGTTCTAATGGGTATAGCTTTAAGATTGTCTCACAGTGGCACAGTGATTTAATCTAGAATATTATCACAACACCCACAGAACACATTAGAGGTACACTCTCTACAATCTCCTCTTAACTGACGGATGTTTTCAATATGTGTGCAGTAGTGTAAAACTCTGACGTATCACACACTTCTCACCAATAGTAGCCCTCTAGTCCACTTGATAGTAAACATTCCCCCTGCACCGCCCCAGAAACGACTTCCCCCCGCAGGGCTTTCCTCCTGGTCTGTGGACAGTACTTAGTATAATTAATATTTAAAAAACCTAAATACATCTTAGTGTTGTGTTTACTGGTATGACTTCGGTCTCCCTGATGAACGTTGTCGTGGTGACTTAACACAAGGGCAACAACCAGTTCTAAAAATTGCGATATGTAGGTGCTGAGACACGCGGGCAGATGTGGGCTGTTGTGTTATTCCGTGCGCCTGCGCAGGAGCTGAAAAAAGCGAGGGACCTAATTTTTCAGCGATGAAAAAATCCATTAACGAAGCGGTTCTAGTTTATCGTCTACAGAAGGTAGAAGTTGTTACATTTCATCCAGCTCCACAATTTTTTGTTTCCTTAATAATTCCACCATGAATATTCTTCGAATGTATTTTGCTGCACAAAATTCAAAAGCTTTCCCTTGGTATGTTAATAGTCCATTCCACCTCACAAATGTGCATATCCGCTATGTTGATATTACTAATGTTACAAAATAAAGCATAAAGCTAGACGACCAATAATGGAACAATGTTGATATAACCTTTTTGGGGGAAATAAATAACGTGTTTTAAGAGCTATTAGGGGAGACCGATACCAATACCCTAACACGATACTAAAATGCATGTAATTTAAGTGACTAACTCTACGGATAAAGGATCTTTAGAGGAAGCTCGTGGTAGCTAAGTTGTTTCAAGACGTTTTTCACCTCTTACAGTACTATAGGACTCACTACCGTGTTCAGTGATCTCTACTAACTTGAGCCAGTTGAATTCAGCCTAGAACCTTGCTCCCTACTGCTTAGAACCATCATAATGTTACCATCCCATTCATGCTTAATTTCCCTATAATTGTTCATCGTTTCATGTTTTCAAATTTAAATTTAGCATGAGATTGTAATTTTCACCTATCGAATCGAACTTGATAGGACAGCCGTAAATATCTTCGGTGACAAATCTACACATATTTAAAAAATAAGAAAATTACAATAACTAAAAATGAGCCGGGATAGCTCAGTCAGTATAGCGACTAGCTACGGGCTGGACGACCGGGGTTCGATCCCCGACGGGGGCAGAGGATTTATCCTCTAGCCTCTGCGTCCTGACCGGCTCTGGGGCCCAATGGGTACCGGGGTCCTTTCCCGGGGGTAAAGCCGGCCGAGGCGTGATGCTGACCACTCACCCCCATCTAGTGCCGAGGTCAAGAATGAGTAGGAGCTATACCTCCACTCCCTCAAGCGCCTGTATGGCACGTAGCGGGATAAACTTTACTTTTACAATAACTAAATAGAAACTGGAAAAGAATTCCATCAATATTAAATGTGCGGCATAATCAAGTAACCTGCTGGCGTGAATTAAACTTTAGGTACACTGCTAAATTATTTTATCTTGAAGAGTTTTTGCTGAAAGTTACGTGAAGTAACTTTGTGGGAGCGAGTCGGACACTCAACGTCGCCTGTGCCACCTCACAATATTGGGAGTCGATTAACTGCAAGATGCAATTCTGATGCTACTGTCATTCTACGTGATAGAGCACATTCCACTCAGACCAGTTAACGCTATGTTATATCTCTTTAAAGTGAAACCCTAACTATATCACGGGAACAGTGACCTTTCAATTGGAATTCCAATCATGAATAGAACCTTTTATTTCCTTTTAATTTCAATGGAAGTACGCCAGATCATAATAGCAAACCAATAAACTGGGTGTAATAATATACTGTCATTCTTTGTACTATGCTTTTAATAATGGGGAGTAACACTTTGCATAATTCTTCTACTTCAGTTAATATAAGAGACTTACTATAGAGTGGAAAAGGATTTTTTACCGCTTTATAATATACGTTTTAAAAATGTGATGTACCACATATATCAGGGCAGCATAAAAAAGACGTCGGTTGTTACTAATTCTTCTTAATATGTAAAATACTTGCATTAGTTAAAACGTTCACCACCTCTGTACTAGAATCCGCTTAGATGTACAATATACTGGCTATATCTTCAGCACTTCAGCCCTGAAGATGAAGGCAGTATGTTACTCCGAAACTTTGGCATCTATCTACAAGTCTGCACGTAGTTACTACCCAGAAGACCAACATGGACATGTGGTTACGATGTCAAACATGCAGTAACCACTGGTTGTTTCGTTCGGGAATCTTAAATATTGATCTATGTGCCTTCGTTGTTTGAATAAAACCCGTCTATCTATTGCCACGGTCTTGCAGCTCGGCTTGTTTTCTTACTTTAATAGTGTTGTCAGTCTTATTAATTTAAATGTAAAACATAAAATAAAATTTTCCTAAAATTCAAGTAGGAAAGAGACACGCAGTTTTTGGGACAGCTTATGGCCTGGAAAAGATTAGATGGTCCTTTGAATACAACTAATAAACTATGAATGACAGATGGATTACAACACAGGCTCAAGATGAAATAATCCGAATGCTTAATGCTCTTCTCAGCTGCAACATTTATGACTTGGAGTGACTTGTGTAGTCTAATACTGAATATAAAGGCGTAGTTGGTAAGTTTTATGTCAGCCAACTTCAGGTTTTACACGGCTTTTCCGTGCATGAAACGAAGTAATGTTAGAAACTATAGTTGCATTCGTAATAACTTAAACCAGTTTCGTAGCTGTACGACAAAAAGACTGTCATCCATGTAATGTTTAGGTCTACAGCATTTATCAAAAATATAATGTTGCATTTAGTATAAACTAAAGAGAACTACGAGGCTCGTCCACAAAGTAAGTTTCCCTGGGGCCGTTTACAGAAACAAAACATAATTTCATGGAAATATTTATTGCAACAGATACAGCAAGTGTCCAGCTATTTTTCAACATATTCGCCACCGGAATTGAGACATTTGTCATACCGTGGGACCAACTTTTGAATACCTGTGTCGTAGAAGTCTGCCGCCTGGGATTGGAACCACTGTGTGACCACCATCTCCGCCTCTCTGTCATTCTCAAAACGCTGACGCTGACGCTGACCGGACAGGAATTTCTTGAGGTGTAGGAAAAGATGGAAATCACTGGGAGCGAGGTCCGGGCTGTAGGGTGGATGATTAAACACCTCCCAGCTGAACTTCTGCAGGAGACTTGCTGTCCGTCGAGTCGTGTGCGGCCTAGCGTTATCACTGACCGCACTTCACAGTCGGCGGGGGCTGGAATAAGAACCTCCATCTTCAACAGCTGCAACGATGCTACTGTGAGAACGCGGGAAGTACCGTTTGTGCATGCGCCATGCTACGTCATTGCTCTATCACGTACGCACAGTCGCTTCGCGCAATATAAGGTTTGCTAGCTGTGGGACGAGTGGGAAACTTACTTTTGGGACGCGCCTCGTATTAACGTGAGGAGTAAAGGAAATAAGAATTTTAAAAAATTAATTTGGTTGCCTCATGACGAAAGTATAAATATAAAACATGTAGAAAAAAATTAATCTGTTAGTAAACATGATTGAGGAAGCTAAAATGTTTTGTCTAAGGCAACTTTCAAACCGAATCAACTATAACAAAAATAGGCAACAGGCGATTGGCAAAACACGTTACTACAAGAGACTGCACGCGTAACAATGTACAACGTTCACTCGGGAACAACAGTGATGTCGCTTTTAAAATTATCGCTTGCTGACAGGCGATAAGTGCTGAAAGCAAAGTTTCTGCCATGTCACCGAGTGATGCATATCGCCTGATTGTTTGTAGTAGCTCATTGCGTCATCCCGTCAACCACTTTCTGTGCAACGTGGAATGGTACAATGTACTAAGAATGTTGAAAAGCAACATCAAAGTTATGTTCGTGCAAATTATAGAATTTTCATTTTGTTCATCAACATTTTCACAGACAAGCAATTTTTTTGTGAAATTACAGCCGATAAGAAATCGCTTATTTCTCGTTGCTAGTTCAGGATACTCTTTTAATAACACAAAAGATAAATAAGATGAGTGGGGTGCATAAAACGAGCAAACAACAGCTTTGTGCAGAAATCTCTCTTGTAATATCATGAAAGAGGGTAAAAATTAACAGACATTCTAAAGTGAGAGTCTGGAACATGTCACCTAGGTTGAAGTAGCTTACAACCGTAAGCAGTGGCGAGCTGTTTGGATGTCATTGAGTTCCATAACAAAAGGGAATTTTCATACGGCTTAGTAAATTTATATAAAATACGAGTTCGAGGGTCTTTAACGGATAAACTACACGGAAAAGTCGAGGGTAGATGGGATGTGAATTGGATCCATTTGGCTCAGGATAGGCCCAACGACGTGTTCTTGTGACAATTATAATAAACTAATGGTTTCACGAAAGGCCTATAATCTTCTCAAATCGGGCTGTGTTCCATGTAGATCATAAATATTAACTTCTACAGTAAGACTCATGTAATAATAGGTGCAACATACCTTCTCCTTCGTAAGTAACATTGTACTTAAATTTGCTGATATTTGAATTTATATCCTGGTCAGAGCAGTTCATGGCTGTTAGGATGCAGTCTGTTCGTATAGATCTGTAACAAGAGATAACAATCAAATTTGAACTCAGACGATAGGGTTGATACTTTACACCTACACGATGGTAACCATCTACAAGGCAAAATGGCGTCACAACCCGTAACACCACAAGAGACAACGCAACTGAAATTTAAGTAAATCAGTGTTCTTTGGTCTCAACTTAATTACTGAGTGTTTTGCACAGACCACTTGGCTATACATTATTTGAATTATTTAAAATAATACACAGACATGAAAGATGAATTAGTACTTCCTTTCAAAAGAAACAGAATTTCCACCAAATAACTATTTTACTAAACTTTTAGGCACATCAATAGCTTCTCCAGTCAGCTAACATAAACACAGGCATTCAGAAAATTCAGACATCTGTCCATGACCTTGAACTAGCGGAAGTACATATTTCATTAGGGGAAGTGTCACTGGTAGTTCTCATAGGAATACGTAATGTATGCAGAATAAATACGAAAGTTATTTGTAAAAAAATCATACTTAAAGAAAACAACAGCTAATTGAAAGGACCTTGTCAATGGACTTCAACAATAATGTGATTTGAGGAAATCTTATTTGCTGTTTATTAACCGACGCTGTCAGTAGACCAGACCCCTATTATCATAAAAACTGTCTTTTGCGTGAATAATTATGTTTCGTGCAAAATTGAAAACAAGATGTTTAAACATACTATAATAGAATGTAATATATTTAGAACTCAACCTTAACCATAGCACTTAAACCACTTCATGCACAAAACGATGAAACCAGTGTTAATAGTAGCTGTACACATCGCCAGCAAGCTACGGGTCTAGGTCAAAGATACTCGATGAACTTTAATTTCCAACTAAACCTGGTTTCAATTTTACAATATTCCTGTCCATGCCTGGTATACAATCCCGGACGTCTAGCTCTTAGCCACTGAGCTAAATTGGCTATTGGTGCGTACGACGTATGTTTAGAATGTGTAAGTTTTGTATCGATTGTATTAGGAATAGCGGAATAAAATCGAAATAATTCTCCTTAAACGTTTGAAATCAAAATCTAATGAAATGCTAACAGATCACTTAAACAGGAAACAGGAAGATGTTGAAATTCCATTCATTCCTGTTCTGTTTGTTCCATTGGAGCATCTGGCACTGTTCAGCTACAACACTTAACCCATTTCCTATTTAATTAGAGACCGCAGTCTATTCTTGATCGAAGTGGAAAACCTGCTGACTTCTAATTCAATTCAGTTCTTTCTTCGCTCCAGCAAACAACAGTTTCACATTCCCGCTGGTTTCGTTAGAGAAGTTTCGACGCTGTAGCTCGCAACCAATCGATGCTGCAGAAACGATTAGCCAGCTGCCTTCCTACTGTTGCTTTTTCACATATCCTCAACTGAAGTAGTATTTATTTACTCCCGAGTTTTAAAAAAAATATCTCAACGTTGACGATTGAAATTTTTACGGTAGGTGTAGTAGTTAGTTTTACAATTTTAAGGTCTGGATATCGACACTGGTCGTCCTGTCTAACGTTTTCTGCTTTATATCGCTTCCTCCAAGTGAATTCTTTGATGTTACCTTAACATAAGACATTTCAACCCTTATAAAACGGGCCAATTGTCTTAAAACCTTGCATACCGCGTAGTGTACTGGAATATAAAACATGCATATAAACAAAACTGTTTACACTTTGAAGGACACAAATGCGAAACGCGTTTCGACTTCAAGAGGTCATCATCAGAGGACGTGTTAAGAACAGCCTCGAAAGGTAATAAAATGCTTGACATTTTAGAAAATTTTCATATATATAAAACCAGCGAAAATCAAAACATCATAAATGAACAGAACGCCCATGACTCCAATGCGTAGGTATACCTGAAGACGGAAATAGACTTCCACCTCCGAAACGTCGTTAAATTTTATTATTTTATTAGACGATGGATAACATCAAAAAACCTTTTATTCAAATAACTCACCATCGTCAAAAACGTTTAGATTTGAGAAAATCATAAATTTCATATGCATTAGTTGGCCACACTGATAGTTAATATATACCCTACACATTTTTCAAACTGACAGTAACGCCCACGCATCGTTGAAGTTCACAGGCACAGACGACGGAACCACGGCTCACCGTAGACCCAGCAACGGCAATCAGACCAGTGGACATAAAAGCTAAGAGCTCAATTTAATACACCAACTCCTGTGCAATCAACGTCCGGTGAGGTGTTATATAAAATACGGTTTTTGTAAAGTACACACCTTTTATGTTCTGTAGAAAACCATAAGCGTATTGATTTTTATTATATAAATTAATTTGTTTTGTCACTGATGATGACCTCTTGAGGTCGAAGTGCGTTTGGCATTAGTGTCCTTCAAAGTGTAAACAATTTTGAGTCAACAGTGATTTTCGTCTTTGCATTTAAGAGGTAGATATAATTATTACGACTTGTTTCACATTCCTGTTCTAGACATGAATTATCTTCACTGACTGATCGGCTGATTAACTGTATAGTCATTTAATCAGTTAATTAATTACTTGTAACTAGTTAGTTAGTCTGTCTTCCTGTCCGTCTGAGAAATGCGTTTTCAGTATTAATCCTAGGATGTCAATGTAGCCATTGTTATTATTTTTGTCACGCCAGTAACACTGAAACACTATCACATGTGTTTGTTATGATTGTTGTTAATTAATGGTGATGGGCGGATTACATTAGGATACACTAAAACTATCAATTTATGAACCTACAGTAGATTGTGGTTTATGTTAATTTCTTAATGTATTTATCGTTATTCTTATTGTAATTGTTATAATATTCCTATTTTTTTGTTATCAGTTCATGAGCGAGGGTGAACCCTTTATACCAGGTTTATTGTTATTAATATTATTGACACCAACACCATTAAAGACCTGGGAATATTTATCGACTCCAAGCTCCGATTTCACAACCATGTTGACCACATATTTTCACATTGTATTAAGTTGCTGGGTCTTGTTCGCACATTAACCTTTTCGTTCTCTTCTCTCGATTGCCTGTATATGTTATATGTAACCTTAGTTAGATCCAAGCTCGAGTACGCCTCGGTCGTTTGGAATTCTATTACGACTACTGATGCCAACAAACTGGAACGTATTCAGCAGAAGTTTGCAGCCCTTTGCTACTATCGTTTCCTCCCCCAAGTTCATTACAGCTACGCTGATGCGTTAGAGTATTTAAAACTCCAGACCCTGCGTAAGAGAAGGCATTGCAGTGATGCACTGTTCCTTGCGCAGGTTTACCGCGGTTTTAAATGCTGTCCTTCCCTTCTGGAAGCTGTCGGTCTCCGCATCCCTGCTCGGAATCTGAGAGATTTTTCTATGTTCAGTTTTAGCCCCTTGTTCAAAAACAGTCCTTCTGCTAGATGCGCATCAGCTGCTAATGTTGTCTGCAGGGATTTGGACATATTCGAGACGAAAATTGTCACACTTAATCATATTCTATAATAGCAAAATTTACTTAATTGATTCATGTTATTTTACAAATATCCTAATGTAGTTAGTAGTAATTTTTTGTGTACTTTCCGTATCAATGTATTTTATATATTGCTTGTTTTACCTTTTATGTTTTACTGTGTTTGTGAGTTTATCTCTGTGCTGTATCTGTAATTGGCCACCAGGCTGTTGATACAGCACACAAATAATAAAGAATTGAAAGAATTGAATTGAATTGAAATCTTAGATTCTCTGAGAAAATTCGTCAATATCACCTTATAATAAGGCATGGCCGCCTTCTCTCTTATAGTCGTTAATCATCATCCGGCTATCCGACACAGTGAAGGCCTTGTATCATATGCATTTAAGATTTGAAGCTGTGAATGGCAACAAAAAGTGACAAAATCTACGACGATCGATTGAGCAAATATCTTACGTTTCAGTCCACCTCCTTCTCAACCAGTCTCTGATAATAGACATGGATAACGCTACCGAAATGCAGGATGTCTGCTCCGATCAGATTCAGGTGATGACCCGGGTTAGAAGATGTCTTCAAATCGACCAGAACCCAACACGCAACGTTCAAGAGAAATATTTCAAGGCGATGTAGACACATTTACTTTGTGTTTATGGTTTGCTGACCCATTTTTCAGCTTTTTAAAAAATATGGCTATCAATTTATAACAGCCCTGTAGGACCTACTCATATTTTTCCATGGGACTAAGTGCAAAACAGACAGCGCTCATAAATAACGAGCCGCGTGGCTGTGTATTGTGGGACTTTATTCAAATTGCTCAGACACAAAAAAAATCTCCTTTATTGCCATTTTACTTCAACAAGGGGTCCTCAGTTACGGAGTATAAAAACCACATAATCCGCTACTAAAGAGGACAAATATACAAAAATGATTGTATCAAATTAGTCGTTAACATATACTTTTTAGTGCTACATCTCTGAAGCCAAATAACTTGATTAACATTTTCTTCCCCTCCTATGCCTCCAAGCGGATTTAATTCTTGTCAGTCCAATGGTAACTGTATGCCCCACCTGCTTCGACAATCAAGAATTATTCATTCTGCATTTGTGTGTTTTGTGTAATTCCCACTTTGAACAGTTATTATTTCCTTGCACAGCGCCAACATATTAATTTATATAGGGTGAAATTTTTGTTTTCTTTGCGGTGTTTACTTAATTCTGAAATATTATTTAGACGAGCTTCGGCTAGAACGAACGGACATTGCCTGGGAACCTTCTAACTATAAGCTGCCCTTTCCCCCCTCCCCAGGAATTAAGTCTCTCACTTCTCCCTCGTCAATATTATCTTTGTTCTATTGTCTTGCTATCCTTCCTAGCTCTCTTCTATCTTCAAAGGGTTAAATATAGAAATGTCTTCACTCGTTCATAATCTCTTGAGAATTATTAGATGTTATGTAAAGTATTAATTTCCTTATGAACTTAAATTTTGTGAGCGTGGCGATGAATAAACAAGTTTATTAAAAATAAGTGTAATTACTCGGGCGGCTGAATATCAATTAGCTTTTTTAAGAAG